TGCCTCATGTTTATACAGTGCTGAGACAATGGGGGCCCTCTCATGTCTTTTCTGGGCATGTGCACAGCCCTGTACTTGGCTGACCTTCGAGATCTCTGGGAACATGTCAGAGCTTTTTAAAGATTCCTGTGGGCATCTTGTTTCTCAGATTTTTCTTGCAAATTTTTGGTCAGGCTCTTGTGTACTGCAGCCATTATCATAGCCTTCAGTACCTGTGGTGGCAAACAGTTGCTGATGATTCTGTTTGCCTAATGTCTTGGAAATACTTCGTGCAGAGCAAGCAGTGACTCAGGTCAAATCATGAAGAGTCCCTATAAATGGGGTTTAGGGCACTGCAAGACAGGTTAAACAGTGACAATTCTCTGTGAATGGGGCTTTTTAAGGGAGCCCCATATCCATCCAGTCTCTACCCATTCTGGTGGCTGCTAGAGCTGCTGGTTTTCACAGCTACAGCGATGGAAAGGCTGTCTGTTTTCAAGGTTACTGCAGAGCTGGGGAGACGGGAATAGTAGTTAGAAAAGTTAAAAGAGCAAAAAGCTTGCTGTTCTAACCAAGGTTTAGCAGGTTTGCTTTAATAAATGCTCACCTGTTATAGGCCTTTGATTTATTCCCAGAATTCTGAAATAGTTGATAATGACAAATGTGCTGGTGTGTGCATTACATTAATGGAGGAACAGATTTACAGAGGTCTTTGTGCCTGCTCCTGCTAGATTTCCAACCTATAGGGTTCAGAGATCCTTAAGGCACCTATGGACCCCTTGAATCAGTTACTAATATACTGCTAAATTGATTTGAAACATGTAATGGACTAATTAGGGCTTTGTTTATTGACTTGGAACATAACAGCATTTAATACATGACTTTATATTCAGTGGTATTTTTCACGTTCTGGGAAAATGATTTAAACGTGAGCCTTCTGTCCATAACCTAGAAGTTTGTCATTGGTGTAGGCTCTAAAATAAAATAGTCAATGATATGAAGTACCAGCTTGCTGTCCTTGGGAAATGGTGTTTTTCTACCAATGTGTACCTCCAGGATACTACTTATCACTTCTTCCAGTTGAGTTTCACAACAGTGGTAAAAAGAAGTAACTGGTCTCCAGCATCTCTTACACACCAACCTATATTCTAGATCCTTGACTAATACCACTTTTGTTATTCAGAATACCTTTGCAAGGTTTATGTATCGGTATTCCTATTTTGAAGTTATATATACTAAAGCCAAAGAGTTATATAAGTTGCCTAAGACAGTATAGCTAGGAAGTGGTGAAATTGGTATTCAAACCATGATCTTTATGCCTCCAAAGTCCATGCTTTTTTATTACTCCAGTCGCATATCTGTCCTCTGTTACATAATTGCATTCATTTTGTTCAAAGATAAGCTATCTGATGGGGAAGTCAAAACCATGTATAAAGACACATTATTTATGTAACCTAAGAAATGAGCCTCTTAAAACTGAAACATTGTCACTTAAAATTAAGCAACAACTATTAAACTAGTTAAGATAAATTATTGTAAGCATAAAGTACATTGTTTATAGGCAGAATTAAATACTTTGCTGATATCAACAATTCTTTTCAGAGACTAATTGAGCAGCGTGATACTTTGAAAGAAACGAATGAAGAGCTTCGATGTTCACAAGTACAACAGGACCACCTAAACCAAACAGGTTACTTTTGTTAGATTTAGAAAAGTTTCAGCCAGGGCAACACAGTGAGACCCCATTCAACAAAAAATAAAAACTTAACCTGTCATGGTGGTGCATACCTATAGTCCTAGCTACTTGGGAGGCCAAGGTGGGAGGATCATTTGAGCCTAGGAGTTTGAAGTTGCAGTGAGCTATGATTGTACCACTGCACTCCAGCCTTGGTGTGAAAGAGAGAAACAGAGAAACAGAGAAAGAGAGGAAAGAAGGAAGGAAGGAAGGAAGGAGGGAGGGAGGGAGGGAAGGAGGGAGGGAGGAAAAGAAAGAAAGGAAAGGGGAGGGGAGGGGAGGGAAGGGAAGGTTTCTTGACAGAGAGAGACCCTATCGAAAGAAAGAAAAAGGCAGGCAGGCAGGGAGTGAGGGAGGGAGGCAAGGAGGGAGAGAGGATTTTTAAAAAAATAGTTGAAATACTGAAATGCGAATTTATTTTTTGTTATTTTCTAGGTGCATCTGCTGCAAAAAGTTATGAGAATCTTGCTGCTGAGATTATGCCAGTGGAATATAGGTAAATTTGTTTTGTAATTTGATAGAATTATATTTAATATTATAATTTTGTTCTTTTTTGTAAATGTCTTGGCCTTTAAAAACTTATGACTCATAGAGCTGAAAATTACTGTTTGATCTACTTAAACTTTCTAAATCAGATTCTTATTGCTACCACAGCAATTTAAAATTTTATCAGAAGTAAAATTTCACAAACCCTTGAATAACATATTCTAGTTTTTATAACATGACATGACCCCCAAGTGCTATGTTATAATTGCTTTAACTAGAGAGGTTTAAGTATATAAAGTTAGAAAATTATTAGAAAACAAAAAAAAATAGGATTTACAAGCCTTTGATGGGGGAAGTGGTAAATGTATAAAGTAAGAAAAGTTACTTATCTTGCTTAGTGGGGAGTCAATCATTAAATTAAAATTAGTAATTATAAAAAGTAGCCATATGAGCTTTTTTTGTAGAGTTATGCTGTTGGCATTCAGAAGAACAAAAATTGGGATTAATTGAAATTAGTTGCTTTTGAGGAATGGGATTTGGCAGGGGAACAACTAAGGGAGAGTATTACTTCCGTATTTAATGCAAACAATAAAAGTTGCAGTTTTAAAAAGTACATGTAAATCTTTAATACAATTTTTTTCAGAAAAAAAAGATCTAGAAACTGTCTTACTGCCATTATAAAGTATATCTTAAAAGTTTAGTCAAACTATAGTTTCTTAAATCTATTGCTTTTCTTTTATGTGTTTTCTAAGCATATACTATTTGTTTCCTTTACAAATATTTTCTAAATTACCAAAGTAAAATAATTTCTATTATCTCTTCAGGAATGGTATAATATACAACTTAATGATTTATAGCATAATCCTATGTGGTACCTATAAAATTTTACTGCCTTTTTTAAAGGCACAGTCTTGTAGTATACATAATTTTTTCTTAAACACTTTCAGAAGTTTTTGCTGCAGTTTGAGAGTTTCATGCCCTACCAGCTGTGCTAGCTGGTCCGGCTTGCATCTTAAAATGGTAGCTATTGAGTGAAAAGGAATTTCCTTTTTTTTAACTAAAGAACATAATGACTCATATTTTTAAAAATTAAAAAAAGATTTTGTTTTGTAACATCAGGGAGGTGTTTATTCGACTGCAACATGAAAATAAGATGCTTCGCTTACAGCAAGAAGGCTCTGAGAATGAACGTATTGAGGAACTTCAGGAGCAGCTAGAACAGAAACACCGTAAAATGAATGAACTGGAAACTGAGCAGAGGTATGTGCTCCTTAGTAATTGAAAATATGGGTGATTTAATTACTGAGCCACAAAATCTTGATTCACAGAAATGGAAAATATTATTGTAGTTAAAGTAATTAGAATTACCTAGAAATAGTTCAATTTTGTTTTGTTAGTAGTCTTTCATTACTATAAGCTTCACTCTGTGAAATAAGTCGATTCATTTCAGTTATGTTTATAAAATATATGGATAAGCTGTTAATTTCAGCAGTCTTGGTTAACCAGGCTGCTTACTCTTTTTATTTTTTTTGAACAGTCTCGCTCTGTCGCCCAGGCTGGAGTGCAGTGGCACGTCTTGTTCGCCCACAGGGATTCTGGCTCCGACTGCATTAGAGTCCATCTTTTTTTTTTTTTTTTTTTTTTTTTTTTTTTTTTTTTTTTTAGATGCAGTCTTTCCACCCAGGTGGAGTGCAAGATCTGATTGAGTTCCATGCGTGACAGCCTCCTCCCAAGTAGCTGCAATTAGAGACATGCACAACTATGCCTGGTTAATTTCTGTATTTGTTTCCTTTTCTTTTCTTTTCTTTTTTTTTTTTTTGAGATGCAGTCTTGCTCTGTCACCCAGGCTGGAGTGCAGTAGTGCGATCTCAGCTCACTGCAACCTCCACCTCATGGGTTCAAGTGATTCTCCTGCCTCAGCCTCCCAAGTAGATGGGACTACAGGTGCACACCACTATGCCTGTCTAATTTTTTTTGTATTTTTAGTGGAGATGGGGTTTCACCATGTTGACCAGACTGGTCTCGATCTTCTAACCTCATGATCCACCCGCCCCGGCCTCCCAAAGTGCTGGGATTATAGGCATGAGCCGCTATGCCCGGCCAATTTCTGTATTATTAGTAGATACGGGGCTTCACCATGTTGGCTGGGCTGGTCCCGAACTCCTGACCTCATGTAATCCACCTGCCTCAGCCTTCCAAAGTTGCTGGGATTATAAGCATGAGCCACTGCGTCCAGCCCACCAGGCTACTTATTCTTGAATTTCATTTAGATATGTTCACAATTCATGAAATTTGACAAATGAATAAATGACAGTTTGGCTTTCTACTGAAGTCTAGTGCATAGATGAGATCTAGATTGTGGAATCAAATTTAAATCCAACTTCTAATTTAACTTATTAACTGTTTCTGGACAAACTGCTTAAACTTACACTCAGTGTCTTCAGGTGTAAATACAAGTTATTAGGAAGACTACAGATAATGAGCTTAAAGCAAATGATGTGCTTATGTGGTATCAATGAAGTGCTCAAAACTTATAATAATAATATGCTTTTCTAAGTACTTTTTTGCTATTAACTCAGTAAATCGTCATAGTAACTCTATGAAATAGTAACCATGATTAGCTCTTTTTCTATGGATAAGGAATATAGATACGGAGAAGTTAAATAACTTACCTAAAGTTATACAGCTAGTAGTTCTAGATCCTCCATAATGAACTCTCTGTCAATCTGATTACTGAGTCTTTACTCTTAACTACTATGGTAACTTGCCTGTTATAAATGGCACACTTACTATAAGGGTATTTAGACTTATTTAACCTTTATTGAATCCTGGACACCAACAGAAATTTTAGACACACTTGAATCTTACCTTTCTCAAAATTGTGTGTAACTTGTGTGTATAATGTTACATAAACTGTGGTTAAAATAAGAATGATAATTTAGTTTTCTAAAGAGGCCATTAAATATTACTATTTTATTCAGTTCAATACCAGTTGTTGGCACTTTTCTGAAGAGACCCTTAAATATTACCATCTTACTCAGTTTAATACCAGTTCTGAAGAGCACTAAATATTACTATCTTATTCAGTTCAATACCAGTTGTTAACACTGGGGAAATTATTTAAGCTTTTAAGGAATTAACATAGGAAGGTAGACATGTAAATAAATAATTGCTATATTATGTGATAACTACAACAATGGGATATTATAACAGGCAGGTGAGTGTGTATGTGTGGATATACATAGAGGGAGAGGGAGATGCTAACTGTTGCTGGTAACTTCCTGTGGAAGTAACTCTTAAGCAGAGTTTTAAAGAATGAGATATTGCCACATTAGAATCTGCATTAGTTGCTAGTGGTAGTCCCTTTAATTTAAATTTAAAAAAACATGTGGAAATGATTGGAAAATGGGGACTTTCCTCTTCCAATACACTGTGAAATCTGAAACAGAAGATGGAAATCTAGTTTTCATTCATTGAAAATACAACTGTAGAAAAATTGAGCTGGTTTTCTGATTTTTCTACCAGTGAGTACAGTGTAGAAATGTTTTTGCCACCAACATTTAAGTTCCTTAAAATTTTAAATGTAGGCATATGTACTTTCAGGAAAAAAGTTTTCTTTTAAAAAATATTTCCTTAGAAGCAGTGTGCCCTACTTCCTATTGTACCTAGGCACAGATAATTATTCCACATTTGTCATTGCTATAAAAACATATTTTAGTTAAATTGCTAACTGAATGTACCTTTGTAGATCCTTAACTGCTTTGACTTTCAATACAAGTAAATGCTTATGACCCATCTTACAATAGGCTGAGCAAAGAGCGTATTAGAGAATTGCAGCAGCAGATTGAGGACCTCCAGAAGTCTTTACAGGAACAAGGTTCCAAGTCTGAAGGCGAAAGTGTAAGTAACTTAGAAATTATAATTCTGCTGTGTATGGCTTTTCTTTAATAGGTTATGATGCCCAAACTAATCTTGTATTAGAAAGTGCAGCCCTTATCATTGAGAAAACCCTTAAATACCGTATATATCTGCATAATAGATGCAGTGATTTTGCCAACTTGGAGCCTGTCAGTTGATCATCTACATTGGAAGGTGATTTCTGTCTGTCCTACTTCAGCAGCTATACCAATGTTCATGATGATTCTTGATCATCATTCAGCATCATTCAACAGCTATACCAAAGTTCATGATGATTCTTGATTGAGAACATAATACAATTGAGGGCTTCATAGTTCTACTGGAATTCCAACAGGGCTGGCCTGAGAAAAATCCAAATAATTAGCAATCAGAATTGAGGAAACCTTCTAATAGGAAAAGAGAGAATGGGAAAATGATTTCTACCTAAAGAGCATGCTAAAAATGGATTATACCCATCTCTGAAGGACAGAAACTTTAATGCAGCCTTGGAGGCATCACTCATTTCTTCCTCCTTCCTTAATGATTCATGGCCTTACCGTTTTCTGATGATTTTTGATGGCAGATATTGTGAGGGCAGAGATAAGAGGATTTAAAAGATATCAAACTTAGCCAAAATCTGACTATACCTAGCAACTATTCTATAGTTTGATCTTTTCATGTGAAGAGAAAGAAGTAGTGATTGAGAGAGTGATTAACTTAATTAAAAATAACAAGGAAAAAGGACTAGATATGTGTTAGGGATATCTTGATTGATTGAGATTAGATAGAATGTAGGTGATTATACCTGTGTTGATGGGGGAGGAAACCATGCAGAGTAAGTAAAGAGATGAAAAGGAAAATTGAAAGAGTTGCATTTCCTTTCTGTCTTTTATATGCTTTATATTATTTTCTTTTTTTTTCCCTGGGGGCTTGGAAAATAGAAATCGTCTCATGCATGGCGGCATCTCATATGTGCATATATACGGTATTGTAACTTCTCTAATACAAATATTATTTTAAGCCACACTAGAGAATACTTTTAAAATGAGGTCTTTTTGGAGGAGCACATTTTGGCTTGCAGTGTTTTAAAGACAAATGTCTTTATTATTTTAATATATTGGTATCCAACTCGTATTTCAGATTATATATTTTAAACACTTCACCTATACAGTAGGTGTGGAACGACTATTGCAATTTAAAGTACTGTTTTTTAAAAGGAGAAATTGTATGGTTAAAATTTTGCTTTTTAACAATATTCAGTTGCTTCATTTTGGTGTTAGTTATTAAAGGATTTGCAACTATAATAATAAAGTTGTATTATAAAGGTAATTATTTTAGATCTTTAAGTTTGTTCCTCATAAGAGGCTCAAAATCTTAAAATTTTTATTCTGAATAATTGAGTTTCTAAATATTTTAATGTTTGATACTCCTCAGTATGTCACATTCAGCTTGCATTTGCTGTTTTTCAAGTTCAGATTTAATTTTTATTACATTCAGAAATATGAGGCATTTTTCTTTCTGTCGTATGCTTTTATATTTCATTTTCTATTTTTCCTTTCCTTTTTGAAGTAAAAAGAAAAACCTAAAAAGTTTATGCTTCTTAAAGTGTGTTACTAGAAATACAAATTTAAAAAATATTTATAATTTTGCCTGGTACACCTTCAAAAGAAGGTAAAGAGATTTAGATGTCTGGAAAATTGACCTTTGTCAAGATAGTCATCTTACAGAAATTTTTTTTAAATTTTATAGTCCAGCAAATTAAAGCAGAAGTTGGAAGCTCATATGTAAGTAAAACTGATATTTCTTTTCAAATATGAGAAGGGAGGAGTTGTAAAAGCCTCTAAAGTTAATCTCCTTTTCGTATTTTGTTTAGAAAAGCAAATATCCTGATGCTAATCGATATACTTGCTGCAAAAAGTGAAAAGCATGCTAAAGATTCAGCCTGCCTGCTACCCCCATCCCAAACTCCTACATCTTTCAGTTGTTAATATCATTTCAAAAGTTTAAAAAAACAGATAACTATCACAACTAGATTATATGGGATGTTAAACGTGTAAAATATTTTACTTTCTTAGGAAGCAAGTGTGGCAAGGGAAACAATTTAACCTTTTTGGCACCTGCTATGTGCCTGTTTACATCCTCATGACAACCCCTGTAGTCAGGCAGATAGTATTCCCATTTCACAGGTGTGGAACCAAGGGTCAGAAAGCAACTTGCCTAAGATCCACAAATGTTATATGCCAGAGACCAGTCTCCATGCTTTTTCTACCACTTAGGGAAAAACTCACAGAGGTCCATGAAGAATTACAGAAGAAACAAGAGCTCATTGAAGATCTTCAGCCAGATATAAATCAAAATGGTAGGTATCTGTGAAAACTTGGATCAGACAATAGTTTATCCAAGGACTTACTCTTTTTTACTGAAGGATGCAAGGTCTATGTGTAAATTTTTGCACAATGTGTAGATACATACATTGTAAATAGGGACTATGATAATTTTTAGTGCTGAAGTCAATAAATGATATATTATTAAAACAAAAAATAATAAAATGAATTGATGGATATATGGGAGTATCAAACATTAAAAATAAAATTAATCTGTGGAAATATGGATAAAAACAATTTCAAATCAGATTGATATGACCTTTAAAACATTGTGTAGAAATTCTTTGTTTTTCCTGTGATTGTGCTTACTGTAAGGTATATTTGCTACTTATACTTGATAGAAAGGAGAAAAACAGCTAAATAAAGCAGATTGTAGATTTTTTTTTAAGGGTCAAATAATAAATGATTGAGGATGTGTTGGTTGTATTTCAAAACTTTTAGATAAGAATTCACTACAAAGAATAAATAACAGGCTTTTCTTTTAAGTTCTCTTATCTGTCTTTAGAAAATAAATATAAATATAATTTTATGTGAGGATGAAGTATTTTAATAGGTAGTAATTATTAATAACTGATTATGTTTCATTTTATTTTTACTAATAGTACAAAAGATCAATGAACTTGAAACTGCTCTTCAGAAGAAAGATGAAGATATGAAAGCAATGGAGGAAAGATATAAAATGTACTTGGAGAAAGCCAGAAATGTGAGTGACTTATCTTTCAGAGTTCAAGACTTTGTGGCCTGTGTTTTAGCAAGGCCCATTTCACCGGATTTTTCTGCCATTCTTGTATCTGTATCTAATCACTTCTTTCTTAACTGTATTACCTTACCTGTCAGGTTTCTGTGGTATTTCCCGATCAGTTCTCATACTCTTAGTCTCACTCATCAGTGTCAGATAAAATAAACCATAGCTAATAGGAACTGTTTAGACATAGACTGTAGTGATGTCAGAGAGAGTGATGGCTATAAAGTATGGAATCTTTAGTTCTTGGCAAAATAAGCCTAGAATTCTTTTTTTTTTTTTTAATTGTACTTTAAGTTCTAGGGTACATGTGCACAACGTGCAGGTTTGTTACATATGTATATATGTGCCATGTTGGTGTGCTGCACCCATTAACTCGTCATTTACATTAGGTATATCTCCTAATGCTATCCCTCCCCCACTCCCCACAATAGGACCCAGTGTGTGATGATCCCCTTCCTGTGTCCAAGTGATCTCATTGTTCAGTTCCCACCTATGAGTGAGAACATGCGGTATTTGGTTTTCTGTTCTTGCGATAGTTTGCTGAGAATGATGGTTTCCAGCTGCATCCATGTCCCTACAAAGGACACGAACTCATCCTTTTTTATGGCTGCATAGTATTCCATGGTGTATATGTGCCACATTTTCCTAATCCAGTCTGTCACAGATGGACATTTGGGTTGATTTCAAGTCTTTGCTATTGTGAATAGTGCCACAATAAACATCCGTGTGCATGTGTCTTTATAGCAGCATGATTTATAATCCTTTGGGTATATCCCCAGTAATGGGAAGGCTAGGTCAAATGGTATTTCTAGTTCTAGATCCTTGAGGAATTGCCACACTGTTTTCCACAATGGTTGAACTAGTTTACAGTCCCACCAACAGTGTAAAAGTGTTCTTATTTCTCTACATCTTCTCCAGCACCTGTTGTTTCCTGATTTTTTAATGATCACCATTCTAACTGGTGTGAGATGGTATCTCATTGTGGTTTTGATTTGCATTTCTCTGATGGTGAGTGATGATGAGCATTTTTTCCTGTGTCTGTTGGCTGTATGAATGTCTTGTTTTGAGAAGTGTCTGTTCATATCCTTTGCCCACTTTTTGATGGGGTTGTTTGTTTTTTTTCTTGTAAAGTTGTTTGAGTTCTTTGTAGGTTCTGGATATTAGCCCTTTGTCAGATGAGTAGATTGCAAAAGTGTTCTCCCATTCTGTAGGTTGCCTGTTCACTCTGATGGTAGTTTATTTTGTTGTGCAGAAGCTCTTTAGTTTAATTAGATCCCATTTGTCAATTTTGGCTTTTGTTGCCATTGCTTTTGGTGTTTTAGACATGAAGTCCTTGCCCATGGTGATGTCCTGAATGGTATTGCCTAGGCCTTCTTCTAGGGTTTTTATGGTTTTCGGTCTAACATTCAAGTCTCTAATCCATCTTGAATTAATTTTTGTATAAGGTGTGAGGAAGGGATCCAGTTTCAGCTTTTTCTACTTATGGCTAGCCAGTTTTCCCAGCACCATTTATTAAATAGGGAATCCTTTCCCCATTTCTTGTTTTTGTCAGGTTTGTCAAAGATCAGATGGCTGTAGATGTGTGGTATTATTTCTGAGGGCTCTGTTCTGTTCCATTGATCTATATCTCTGTTTTGGTACCAGTACCATGCTTTTTTGGTTACTGTAGCCTTGTAGTATAGTTTGAAGTCAGGTAGTGTGATGCCTCCAGCTTTGTTCTTTTGGCTTAGGATTGTCTTGGCAATGTGGGCTCTTTTTTGGTTCCATATGAACTTTAAAGCAGTTTTTTCCAATTCTGTGAAGAAAGTCATTGGTAGCTTAATGGGAATGGCATTGAATCTATAAATTACCTTTGGCAGTATGGCCATTTTCACAATATTGATTCTTCCTCTCCATGAGCATGGTATGTTCTTCCATTTATTTGTGTCCTCTTTTATTTCACTGAGCAGCGGTTTGTAGTTCTCCTTGAAGAGGTCCTTTACATCCATTGTAAGTTGGATTCCTAGGTATTTTGTTCTCTTTGAAGCTATTGTGAATGGGAGTTCATTCATGATTTGGCTCTCTGTTTGTCTGTTACTGGTGTATAAGAATGCTTATGATTTTTGCACATTGATTTTGTATCCTGGGACTTTGCTGAAGTTGCTTATCAGCTTAAGGAGATTTTGGGCTGAGACGATGGGGTTTTCTAAATATACAATCATGTCATCTGCAAACAGGGACAATTTGACTTCTT